ATTGTCTACAAAATGGTTTATTTACTTTTGAGTTCTGACTTTTTCAAAAATTTCTGCAAATAAAACAAAATCATAGAAAAACGTCACGGAATTACGTACGCAGGTAGAGTTAGCTGGCCAGGCCGTTGAAAACAAATGTCGGTCGATGGATCCCTCTCGTGTTAGTTCAACTGATCTGGTCGGTCGATACTGTGTCGCAAACGAAAATGGATTCATGCCTTCCACTCGCATTTTTTGTTTCTTTATTTAAACGGAACGCTGTAACTATTGTGCAACAGAGTTTGAGACATTATCGTAACCACTCTGTGACAGAATTCAACTTGGCCAGTTCAGACAACGGCCAGTTGCGCAGAAGAATTACTGAAAGGATTACTAAAGAAGCAGAAAAGCTCGGTTTGCTCCGCCCGTTTTATGGCTCCCATGCAGAGTTAGAATCGTTTGAAAAAATTCAATCGGATCGGATCGGTCAGTTGGAAAGCTAAATCGAATCGGAACGGCGATTACCCAGTCAGCCACCTATATGTTTTTCAAATTCGTTTTAACGCGATTTTAGCATTCATAGAGCGCGAGAATGTACAGTTTCATCATGAATGCGGCGAATTTCTTCAGCTTTAAATATACGCCTTAATCAAAACCGCATTTTTGCCATCAATAATTCGCGAGAAACGCGTTTATGACCATCATAACTTTTTAAAAACGCGTTTTCAGTCGCAATAGACTTCAAGACTCGCGAACGGCATCGAATATTTCGCGTTTAGGACTCAATTGAAACGAATTTAATGCGTTTTGGGTAGAAATGAAATTTCAAAAACGCGTTTCACTTTTCAAAATTTTATAAAACTCGTTTCGTAGACTAAAGTCGCGGAATAAGGCATTTCTATAACAAATAATTGAGTGAAAAATGCGTTTTTAACGCATGCAACGCGACAAACGCGAGATTGGCGCAAGCACCGCGAAAAAACGCGAATTTAGCTTTAAAGTATCGCGCGAAACTCTATTGGTATTTGGGTTTGGTATTTTCTCAGCTGTTCATTTAATAGTATAAACAAAACAGACACAAATATTTCTTAACCATCCGACAAGAATAAAAAAAAAAAAACGAATATGGTAATATTTTTATCAGTCAGATTTGGTAGTGAACAATTTTACATCTATTAGCTTCAGTTGACTTTATAAAGTCCTGATGTTTTTTTGTTCTCATATGACTATGAACATCACTGATTCAAATAACCTTTCTTTCGTCAAAACCCTAAGGATTTTCGTAACTCTAGAAAACCTCCTGATTCACGGTCGCAAATGCATCAAGTATAGAGAAAATATTATATTGATAGACGATCGACATTCCTCTGTCAAATGCACGTCGCTGAATTTTTTTCTATTAACCTTGAATTTTTTGAATTTTTTTTTCTAACGGTTCAATACCGTTATAATTCACTCATACATAGCATAAATACACGTGTATCGTTCACAAGTAGGTTGACTCTTAAAGCTTTTATTGAGCTGCATTGTATCAGGCAGGTAAAACAGAGTACATCTTGATATTCGGACGTAATTTGGATGGATCTCGATTGATCTTATTTTTGGATTTTTCAGAAACGGTAAGAGATTTTGAGCTTATTTTTGTATGTCATATGTAACTTTTGGATGTTGAAAAAGAGTAAAAATTTCTGAGCAAACGGATTTATTTTACAGGAATTTGTAAGGATCCTCCACTCGACTCTAGAAGATAGAGGTCTAGCTATATCTCGTTCTCAAATCCTTTCGAGTCTACTTTCCTCACTATTTCTTTCTTTATTTTCACACGGAGAATGACCGTCTGCTTGATATAACGAATAGGGAGATTTTGCATAAAATTTCTTGTGTTTTGTTGTCCGAAGAGCTTTTTCGGTGATAATAGAATTCTTGTCTCCAGTGTCTGACATAAGCTTCATGTGTTTTTTATTATTAATGAGGGGAGAAATGAAAATTAATGATGGATTGTTATGTTTACCGGAGGCATCACCATCATAGGATGCATCCGCTAGAGAAAATGCGAACGAGGACAATGTCTCCCAAGATGATCTGGAGCATTACACACGATGCATGGACGATGACGAAATGTTGTGTGTTGTGGCTGATAATTAGACGTGTTTGAATTATTACTATTGTTTGATGGTTGGTGTTTTATTGGATATGAGAAGGGAGTAGTATTTGTATTTGTTTTTTGCGGAGGTGCTGATATTGTCTGGTTTAATGTAATTGTCGGTGGATCCATTAAAAATAATTTTTCTACTTGTTGTTCAGTTGATGGATTACTAGACGATGCTTGGACTGATGAAGAAGTCGGTTGATTTGAATATTGTTGATTCAATTTGCGACGATTTGGATTAATATATGTTTCAGAGTTAAATGAATACGAAGGTCGTTGATTGGTATGTAATATATCATCCGAAAATTGATTCTGATCTAATTCACTACTTAAATGTTTTTAAACATTTTTGTATGTAATTGGTAGAGTTTTCATTAAGAAAAGTATAACCAAAGCAGCGGTTTTAATCATTTTGAATTTCCAACGTTTCGATTTATTAAAAAATCATTGTCAAGGATATATACAGAAAAACAGAAGATTTTCTTTTAAACTGAATGGTATAATTTATATTTATATACTGTACGAATTTCTCTCTTCAAGTATTTTCCTTTTTACTATCTGACCTTTCTTAAGAAAGGTCAGATGATACATTAAACGAACAATCTTCGGCATTAGACACAAACGGAGAAAGTTACTCTGACATGCAAACAACAACAGAAACAAATCTGGTTGTTGTTCCTCATGCTCATGCTGAACACGGTAATGTCTGTCTATGGAGAAGGATGCATTGGAGACACAAGCTTCTTAGCATCTGTCTTGTATTTTAGTTTGTACCAGTATAGCTTGTAATTCTGTTATGATCAAATTACGAGCTGAAATTTCGTTGCTGAATGAGAAATTAACACGAGTTAAAGCAACTCATATCAGTATGAGTTTTGTATCGGCTTTTTTTTGCTGCATTTCTGACGAAATTTTATATTTGCTAGCACCTCCACCTGCGTCACATTTAGCCTATTTTGAAGACATCGTACGTAAAACAAAAATATCGAGAAATATAACAAACACTGAAACGTTAGCGAAAGTAGGTTACATAAACTTTAAAGATTCTGTTCCACACTACCTTCTGTTTCCGTTTTTCAGCACAGCAAATGTTTATCAGACCTTATACACAGAATTTAAATACGATTGTTTATGTTGTGTTTTATTACCTTAGGTCTATCGGAAAATTCCCTTAACGGCATCAGAATTAGCTAAATGTAATGGAGGAGAGTGGGCTGCAACAACAAGAAATTTATTCAATTCGTGTTTTCCTAATATTGATTGGTTTACGTTCAATTACCAACAAATAGCTAAATCAAATCCAGCTCTTATTGACGAATTATTTAGTAAGATAGCTTCTTACATTTTTGTCTTTGTATATGATTCTCGCTTTGTTATTTAGAATATGTGGGAGAGATACATGAGAATGAATCGTTCGACCGTATAAAATTTAATTCTGTCATTGGTAATCATATCCGAAATACACGTGGCACTCTTAAAAGACAAGAAGATAAGAAAGCCGGTGTTTTTGCCAAAAACCGTGAGAAAAAACCCGCAGATGAATATGATGAACTGAGCAACACCATGAAAACTGGAATTAATGCTAGAAAAAAGCTAGGACTACGAATAACGGATAGTTCAAAGACTCTTCAAGTATTTCGAGCAATAGAAAATTGCGATGTAATACAAGAAAGAAAAAATGGTGAAACTTTGGATGCTAATGACTCTGATCCAGAGTATGAAACAAGTATGATGTGACCATGTTTCAGTGTACCGAAACGCATAATCTGGATGTAATTTTTGCTTTCACTTCAGATATTTTCGCGTAATATTTCTCCCATATCGAACAATTTGTGAGCAATTATTTATTTGCGTATTGTTGTTTTATTCGCTTTTGTATCGCAGGCTAAAAGAAGCGGTACAGAAAAGATTAACTAAACGATTTAAGAGAGGACAGAGTTTGAGCTAAAGAAAAAAGGAAGGAATAGAAAAACCAAAATTAGAACAGTTCTGTCATCTTAAATCTAAACGAATTTGTTAGAGGAACGCGTTGCTTTTATTCGGCCCCAGTCCTCTTCATTCTTTTTGAATTAATATATATAACTGTTCCCTAAAAATTTCAAAAACTAAATTCATTCCATTCTCCAAAAGCCTTAAATATTGTCCTCTTGTATTACACTCTTCTTCTGTTTTTTTACTGGATAATGTTGTTTGTTTCGTGTAGCAGAATACAGTGGTAGAGAGAACCGTTTTTGTTTAAAGCCGCTGTTTATGATTAAGTATCAACTAAAACAGTTTTGTGTGTTTCACCTGCGTTTTTATCAAAATTAAATTTTGTTTCCCGTTGTTCTTTTTCTAACGTTCACAAACAGAAAGCCAGCTAATACGACATATGCCAAATAACATAGATCTTCTCAAAAAATGACAATACTTCAAAAGATCTAATTAGCAACAACAGAAATTAAGTTTAACAGCACGAAGCCTTGAAATCTTTATAAAGTTTGTTTCGGACCAAACGCATTTTGGCAATATGTAAGCTAAGGATAAAATAGATTTATCATTTTTAGTAAAGTTATACATTGCAATTTGAATGAATTTTTACCTGAAAAAAATTCATGCCTTCTACAGCCGTTAATCGAAGGCGACGAGCTATTCAAGTTCGACAAAACAGACCCACGTTGGTTGATTTACGATACGGCAGCAGTTTGACAAATCATCACCAAAATCCTGTTCATGTATCCTCTCAACATCATCAATTAACAGGTAACTCACTACTGTAAAATGATACTGCTATCTGTGCGATACAGCGTTTTGTTTAGATCAATTGAGCGTGAAAAACATTTTAGCCGAACCTGTCATTAGACCACTAACCGACACGAACTGCCATCTTCACTCAAATGGTAAGAAAAATTTAGTATCTTATTAACTTTTAAACTATATCATTTGCCTTTATCTTTCCATATAGATAATGTTTGTCGTCGTCGAATTCCTAGTCAACAAGACTGGGCAGCAGCATTAATGATATTCAAAGTGCGTCGTTCACAAAATAATGAAGACATTAATCTAATTTGTGATATGCTTCGTTTTCAACCTGTTGATTTTTATATGAATGTGCCAACCAATTGGGTGGGAGTAAAGTACGTTAATCATTGTTTAAAGTAATCCCTAGCGGACAAACCTGCAACCTTAGAGATTAGTTCATGTAAAAGTGTATTACGAGCGTTATATACGTCTTATATTTCGACATATTTTTTGTTTCGCATTCTGTTTTACAGATGTCAATTAGCAGACAAGAATTCAACAGCACCATATACTATCCATTTTTATTGTACAAACTGTGACAATATGATATCCGCAAAAAAATGCACATGTAGTAAATCTACAGTTACAGAGTTATGCTGTCTACCTATAAGCGAGCAAATTCAACAAATTCTATTAATTCAAGGCACATACACAAGTATGTGTAATAGTCTGAAAAATATCAATGAACATACCGAGTATGCTTCGATAATGAAGAGTTGTCCATGTTCTTCTTTCACATTCGTTGTTAACTCAGATGGATTAGAAATAAAACGAGGTAGAACTTTGTGCTCTGAACTGTTGTATTTCAGTATGTTATTATATTCGTTTTATTGTAGGGGTTGGTATATGGCCATTTTTATTTGCCATCAATGAAATACCGTTAACCAAACGTTATCTGTTACGAAATATCATTATACCGGCAATCTGGTCAGCTGCAAAACTACCGACTACTATGCAAATACAAGCGTCTATCAAGATTATTGTTAAGGAACTGTCAGAACTAGAAAGAGGATATAATTTTTTCATTCCAGAATTGAATGAAATTAAAAAGCTACATTTCTTCACTATTATTTCCAAC